ACTAGTGTCTACTATCTTCTTTGGGGGCTTGAAAAGGCAAGGTTAACATGGGCCCAAGGCCTAAGGATCACACCACCCAAAAAAAAAAAAAGAAAAGACTCATTGACTGCATTTTTATTTTTGCGTTTGCACCAAACGCCAGACAACTAGTTTTTTTTTTTTTTTTTTACTTGCTTTATTATATCAGCATTTTACAAAACACAAGTAACTTCTTGCATTTTATTTGGCAAGGGTAATAAATTAATTAAAAAAGGGCGGGATGGAAACAGCGCCTAAAACTAAACTAAAATTAAAATAAAAAACGAAACAGGCAAACGGAGGAGGGAACTAGAAAGCATTTCCCCAAACCTTCTAGAAAACAATGTCGTTCTCCTTTTTTTCCCAGAGTTTCTCGAAAGTTCATTTCCGATTCTAATTCCAATTTCGATTTCGATTATTCTTGTTTCCGATTTCGATTATTCTTGTTTCCAATTTCATTCCCATTTTGATTCCAAGAGTTTTTCCATAAACTCATTTTTTATTTTAATTTCAATTTTGATTCTGATTATCCTCATTTCTGATTTTATTCCCATTTCGTTTCCAAGAGTTCCTCCACAAGCTATATCTGATTTTAATTCCAATTTCTCTGAAGTTCCAATTGAAGGTTCCCTCGATTTCATTCTCATTTTCAGTTATCCTCGTTTCCAATTAATCTTATTTTTGATTGCATGTTCAATTAAATGCAGTTTTTTTGATGGAGGCATTTCTTGTAGGGTCATGTACAATATGAATAATAAAAAGGTTTATTTTATGTCATATTATTATAATTAATATTATTTTATATAAGTTATTTCTTATATATTTAAACTTTAAATGAAACACCTAATAGAAAAGTTATTTTTAAAGCAAGTAATTTTTAAAATTTGCCAAATACTCTTTATATGACTTGCTTTAATTAACCAAGTTAATTCATTAATTATATATGTATTACCTAACTACTATACTAAATTAAAATCTAAGCTTAGTACACTTTAAAGCTTTTAAATTGTATTGCCATATGCAGTTTTATGTCCTGTGTTTGGTAATTCTCATCTTGCCAGCT